TTTAAAGACACTATGCAATGGCTTTGAAGAGAGCTGCCTGCAAGATTTGACCGCCTTCTGGGTCTACACTGAGGCACTTACTATGGCATCATTTGTCTTGTCCTGAGTTGTGATTCTAGAAATGAAAATGAGACGCCTTTTCAGCGGAGTTTGTCCACTATGTTTGCTCGAGCAGCCAATGGCTTGTTTCAAAAGAGAAGTGAGACAAAATGCCAGCCTGGCAGAAGATGTCTCTGAGTAGGAGATATGCCTGCTGTTTATGTGCCCATTGGCTTTCTGACCAGCATGTTTTTACTGCTGTGTTTCACTGATCTGAAGATTGTAGGAATTAAGACCTTGGCTAAGAATTCATTCCCCCTCCTGCTGAACTCAGGGTGAGCAACTGAACCTCTGGAAAACAGGAGAGATGCTTTCTAATGCAAAATGCTAATGCTCTTTTGGCTCCCGCAGCCTTGAAAGTGCCCTAACCAGTCCTTGGAACCTGAGATGACTAACCGCCCCCTTTTGCTTCCCCCTCCTCCATCTGGTGCTGGGGTATATAAGCTAGCCCCGGGAGAAAAGTATATATAATAAAGAGCCTTCTTAATATCAAGTAAGAGTCCTGTGCTATTAACCTCGACACCCTCCACAGTTTCTCGGGCTTCTACAGCAACGCAGGTGCCACAGAAGATGTCTCTTTCCTTCACACTCTATGCATACTTAAAACAGACTGTTTTATAGTCAATGGCCATTTAATATCATGACCAATTATAACTGACAGAAGGTTTCTGTATACAGACTAAAGGTAACATGATTTACATTCAGGGTTTTATATGAGTGAAAAGATGGTAACTACTTTAGTTGTGGACATTGTATTACTTTTGAAGACAGTTTCAGGGGAAAAGCTATTTATTTATCTATTTATTTTGACATGGATCTTAACCATGTCATTTAGCCTTGTCTCAAACGCTGGAGCTAAAGCAATCCTCCCTCCACAGCCTCTGAGTTCTTGGGGGCTACCAGAATGTACCGCAACATTGAGTATTTTTAATATGCGAATGTTTGTCTCTGTTCAGATAGGATTTGGACAGTGTATTCCAATACCTCAACAGTAGAATGAATCTGTGTCTAGTTTTGTACAGATGGGGTTAGTGACACTTTGTTTTCCTACATTAGTGGGAGGGTGAATTTGCATATAGTCCTATTCAGAGATCTTTAGATTCCTTATTCTCCTGCTATAAGTATAAGAGCTACAGAAAGATCTTTTCGAGCCATTAACTACTTTAGTAAGACATAAGAGGTCTGGAACTTGCTGTTTCTAGATTTGATTTCCACTAGTTTTGAGTAATAATTGCATTATAAACACTGTAAACCTTTGATGACTTTCATTTATTTATAGCTAGGTTGGAACAGTTAGGTTACCCATTATACAATGCTCCTCCTGCCCAGGTTTAAAGTACCCAACACTGAGAAGGTGGAATGATGACCACAAATCAGAGAGGAAAAAGGCTACATCATATTAAATATGACAAAAACTTATGCGTGCTATCCTTTAAAAAATGGGTGGAAGTGAGTGGCTTTGTTGGCTTCTTCCCAAGTTTTATGGTGAATGGCATTTAATTACAATCTGATTGTAGTGTGTTTGTTTTATCATATCTATGTAAGTTGCTTCTGAATAAACCTTTGGCTTAAGTGAAACGTAGCACCACATGCCCACAACTTGGTTCACGTAACTATGTTAACAGCTCAGGAGAAGAGGGATGGACAAAGGGACTTCCCTTTTTGTAGGGTACTTTTCTTCTAGGATTGAAATTTCCACTGCTCAATTTATTGTTTCTCCTGAAGCCCTGGGGCCTAAGGCTGTCGCATTAACTATTTTAACGAGAGGACAGGTTTTTGCCTGTAATGTCTACTTCTTTTAAATTGCTAATTATTTGTTTGTTTTTAAGCAGGCTCTTGCCATATAGCTACAGCTGGCCTGGCACTCACTATGTAGCTCAGCCTGGCTGAAAACCTAAAGTAGGCGTTCTGCTTCAGTCTCTTGAGTTCTGGCCTTTCAGGAATGAGCCACCACACCCAGATAACATTCAGACAACAAAAGAAACAGCCACAATAAGGATCGTGGTAAGATTTGTATTTAGAAGAAAACATAAACCTACCAGAAGGGGCGTGAATGATAGTCATATTGCCAAAGGCCTTAATTAATCTCCAGTACAGCAACGCCACAGATAGAATTGCCCTTGGTACAGTGCAGGTTTGCGGGAAGCTTTCCAGGGTTCGTTCGTTTGTTTGTTTCTGAGAATTGGATACCACTGTACTTGTTTGTCTTCTCCTGGGATACGAAGTGCTTTTCCATGGTCTGTGATATGAGAAGGGCTTAGTGATACCCAACGGGGCAAAGCGTCATCAGCTTTTGCCTCCCTAGAACCCAAATAAGTAAGCCCCAGTCGGAGAAAGGACCCAGGGAAATTCTATTGCAGGTGCCCTCCCAGCACTAGCGATAAGCCTTTGGGTCCACGGATTTTAACCTCCGAGTTTGTAAGAATCAGTGCCCACACTTCACACTGAAATGCCCACTTGTTTGCAGCGCAGCCTGAGCAATGGCCTTCAGTTGCCCTATAGTTGAGAACCAGCGCCTTTGGGAATGAAGGAAACAGGAACCTCTGCTGGGCAGAGCTCGTGTACAGGCTGGTGAAGCTGTGCTCCTTGTGGGTGACTTTTTCCGTGCATCCTCTGTGAAGGATGAGCAGGGATGAGGAGATGCCCTGTTTGCTGTCACCACAGTTACTGCTAATCGCGTGGTGGAGTCTGTTGCTGGAACTCCAGACTGTCTGCAGCTCATCTGCCTTCTGGTCAGGCACTCTAAACATTGTGATTTATTCCACCTACTCAATTCTAGCTTTATTTATTCTTTGAGCGAAATAAAAGGAGGAGGACTCCGTCTAAAGTATGGAGAAGGTTTGTAGTGTAGGTAAAGGGGAGAAAGCAGTCAGGCAGAGGGAAGAGTCCAGGCTGAACACTGCCGGCGGACTACACTGAACCCCGAGAGAACAGACGGGGAGCAAGAGGGGCAGCTTGCTCAGAAGTTGAAGTCTATTGTAGGAATATTGAATTTTGTTGAACTGCGTATGTAAACTCTTGGGTTTGGTGCTCAATTTGGATGCTATAACCCCATCTTTAGAGAAGGACTTCTATTATTTTACAATTAAACAAAATGTGCTGTGGATTTTGTAAAATTCATGAAAAAAACAAAATGAGCAAGAGAGGCAGCTGGGAAGAGACTGCTGGGGGGGGGGAAGGGAAGCAGAAGCCCCGCCCTAGGGTATGGGCGGGGTGAGAATTGCTGGGAGGAGCCACAGGTTCTGAGTGAGACCTGCCCTGAGTTTGAGACCTAATACTCTTATTAAAGAGTAGGAGTGGTCTTGTGGATTTATTACATCTACATATAATTGCATTTGTTGTTTATATGGTTTTATATGACAGATTGAATAGAATATTGTGCCACGTGTTATAAATACATTTATATTTTTAAATTCACAACAAATACTTGCTTTAAGCTTTGACTTGGGTCATTAGTTGTTGCTCTTATTTTTAAAAATGAGCTTGACACCTCTCCTTCAGAAATTAGTCAAGAATATCCTCACATTTTACACGTTGAGTGTTTCACACTTACATTGGGTTCCTACAATGCCTGTCACATTTCACTGCTATAAAAACGACATGCACAATCCTTTTTTTTAAAGCTTCTCTCAAGAATCCTATGACAATTTCTAAACTTACCAGTTCACTAATGAAACTGTTACTTGCTTCATGACTCACTCTGTATATTGTTGACAGAGTTCCTAGTGGAGATGATCATAGCTACTCCTGTGTCCCAGAAGGGAAAGGAGATTTTCTGAGTGAAATGTCGGGCAGGTACTAAAAGCCTGCTGTGGGCATTCACGGCTCTGCTGTGCACTCAGACAAGAGTAGTGACAGTTTCCAACGCTGCGTGATTCACACGTATGCTTATCTCCCCACTCATTGCCTGTGTGAGCCTTTGGAAAAGATATAGTTAAAGTGGGAAGGTTGAAGTTGAAAGCAATTATACGCCTTATCTAAACAGTTAGAATAAATGACAGTACTCGAGTCCTTGACTGCTCCATCCCTGTTTTGAATGACTGGGGTTTACAACTGTGTGCTCGGTTTAGGACAGGACTTTCTCTACCTTTGTCTCACACTTAGGGCCGCTGGGCAAGCCTTGACCTTTTTGTCACCTCTTAGGAAACAGTGGCACTAAGGAGCAAAGGGCAGCACTTCAAAGTCCTGAGTGTTGAGTAAAAGCCGCTGGCCTTTCTACAAGGAAGGGCTTGGTTATCTCTGCTTTGCTATTTCATCTCATACACTGGGTTGGGCATGAGGGTAAATTCTGGCACTTTCTCTGTGGGATGCTCCCTGGGGCCACAAAGAGGGGACATTACACTGGGTCACAGGACACACTTGAGGGCTCGATGGCAATTTAGCTTGCTTCCCTCTGGGAAGGTTAATGGTGTAGGGCTGGTGCTTTTCTGGTTCTTTACTAAAACATTCTTTAAGGAAACAAGCTTGAATCCAGATGAATCCCTAAGCAAACACCCCAAGCTTTCCTTTAACCTCTTTCTGTGAGTGAGCCACCGGGCTGCTGTATCATACTGTATATATCAAGTTTCAGTTATCACGGTGTGACAAGAACTGTGCAGTTTTGCATATGAGGAGGGACCATAAAGGCACAGATGAGTTGAAGCTAGCTTAGTTATAATGGTAATGTCTTACGTTGATAGCACTGTTTTTTATTATCTCCCTGAACCCTGAAGCCTTGTAAGGCGGATGCTAGGTGCTAAGGCTGGTGGAAAAGAAGCCAGAATTCAGCCTGAGATTTGCATAGCTCCAGAGACTGTGCTGTCTTCACTAAGCTACGCCATGTTTTTATTCATGCTTGCTCTATATAAGCTGCCTTCTCTTCTGTTTAACTCATGTTATCCACCCATGTGATCTGTGTTCAGCTCAGACCCAACTAGACACCAGCTCTACTTCAAAGATAACTGGTCTCCTGGCTGTGTTTAATCCTTTAATTAGTGCAGTAATTTATCTGTCAAAACCTTGACTTTTTTGTTTGTTTGTTTTTTGAGACACGAATTCTTTGTGTAGTCCTGGCTGTTCTGGAACTTGCTTTGTAGAACAGGCTCACAGAGATCTGCCTGTCTCTGCCCCCTGAGTACTGGTATGTGCCACCACATCCAGTGTTTTACGCTAGGAATTGTAGACAGACTTCCTTTTCTGCTGCCAGCCCCAAATAACAACACAGAGAAAGGCTGGCTTTCAGCTTAGGCTTGTCTTAATTACAAAGTAACCTGTTTATAGTAACCGAGTTCCCTGTTCTTATGATGTACCTCCTGTTTCTTCTCTGCCTGGCTGGTGATTCCACCCGTCTTCTTCCCAGAGTCCTCTCTGTCTCTGGAAGTCCCGCCTAACCTCTTTCTAGCTATTGGCCATTCAGCTCTTTATTAAACTAATCACAGCACTGCATGTTCATACAGTGTACAAATACCCCACAGCAAGGAATTGTACTCATGGGGAGGCGGGGGAGGGAGGGTACATTGGATGGCAAACCAAACAAAGCATGTGATATCATGCGTTCAGAGTGGGCTCAGGTGACCGCCATGGCCTTGATGATGAAGTCTGTTTCTTAACTGTCTCACCTGAGTAACTTTCAAATAACTATTTTGCATTCCTGTTTGGGCTGCTTTTAGCCCTTTACCGGCTATGAAACCGACTGCTTCTGCTCAGCACATCTGAATACCGGTTTGGTTTTGCCTCAGCAGGCCTTGAGCGTGTGGTACGTAGGTACGGTTGCTCTGGCTTCCTGGGTGCTGTGCTTGCAGGTGTGATCCACCATGTCTGGCTTACACACCAATTACTTCCTTATAGAACTGGATGTTGCTGGGTCCTACAATCCCTAATCAAAGACTTTTGCAGTCAGGTCTGGTGGCATTTGCCTGTAATCCTAGTCTTGGTAAGCTGAAAAAGGAGGTTGAGAAGTTGAGGCCGGCCAGACCTACAAAGTAAGATCTAATGCAAATGGGGGAAAGAACCAATTAGATCTTTACCAAATTTTCTTTCATCGGCCTTTTCACATCGAGGAGCCCTGGTTTTAGGAATATCTATAGGATATTGGCAGAACTTGAGATATATTGAGGAGACAGGAAGAATCAAGATGTGACCTTGGAGTCTGCCCAGAAATGACCAGGTACATGGTGCCATCATGGCTGCCACAAATTGTCACTGTTGTTGCAGCTGACCGTGAACGGATTTCCAGTTCCTTTGCCAGACTCTCTCTAGTATCAGGGCCACCAGCCAGCACTTACGCCTCCGATTTTTAAATTCCTGTTAGTTATCATGACTTCGCTGTTTCAGAGGCCACAGCAACACCACGGAATTCTAGATCTGTGCCTTTGGAGAGCAACTGTGGCCTTTGTGAATCTGTGCATGAAGTAGGGACAAAAAAGGAAGTCGTGGGAAGGAAGTCGAGAGCTGATTCTTGGAAGTAATTTGGAAAGCCTTGGGGACCACACATGAATGAAGCTGTTTTGGCAGGGTGATGAGACTAAGATTTGTGGTCTAGGAGACTCAGAGTTTTGTGAAAGAGTGAGGGGGAGAGAGTGGGGAGCAGGGTGGGATGGATGGGCAGGGTTGGATAAAGACCAAACTGAGCAACACTGTCTTCTGTGAAGAAGCAAAGACCTCAGCTAGCAAAACACTGCTGGGCCATCTAAAACACCATGCTTTGTCTCAGCCAAGTGCTGCACTGGAAGAAAGGCATACTGCAAACCACAGCTTTGGATTCTAGATTTGTTTCTGGTGTTGCTGTTGCACTGTTGGCGACCTGCAACATTGTGAGCACAAACGAAAGATGATGCCTATTTCTTCAAATGTGTGTGGAGTGAAAGAGGTCACCAGGCTGAGAAATGTCAGAGGGCGGGGGCAGCGCTCTGGAAAGTTTATGAGGTCCAGGCTGTCCCCTCCTTCCCTTCTGCAGGTGGCCCTGGGGGCTGGCCTCGCTGTGTGAGTCTGGCAGAGCTTTTCCTGGGGCACAGCAGTGTCTTTTTTTCTTTTTTTAATTTTTTTCCTTTTTTAATATTTTTTTAACATATTGATCCCAGTTCCCTCTCCCTCCCTTTCTCCCTCCCTCCCTCTTTCCTTCTCTTCCCCCCTCACATGTATCCCAACCACCCTCCCCTCCCATCCCCCCCTACTCCACATGTAGGGTGATGCCATCCAGGAGGGGTCATCTAAATCTGTGAAGTCATTTGAAGTAGGGACTAGGACTTCTCTCCTGTCTCTAGGTTAAGGGAATATCCCTCCATGGGATGTGCCCACAAGGTCCTTTTGTGCACCAGGAATACATCCTGGTTCCACTGTCTGAGGTCCCTTAGACTGCCCAGGCCTTCTGGCTGAGACCCATGTTCAGGGGGGTCTGAGTCAGTCCCATGCTGGATTCCCAGCTATCAGTCTGGGGGCCATTAGATCCTCCTTGTTCAGGTCAGCTGTCTCTGTGGGTTTCTGCAGCCTGGTCTTGTCCTCTCCCTCTGCATCTGGATTCCAGTTCGGCTCAATGTTTAGTTGTGGGTGTTTGCTTCTGTTTCCAACAGCTACTAGATGAGGGCTCCATGATGGTGGATAAGTTAGTCATCAATCTCATTATCAGGGAAGGGCACTAATGGTAGACTTTCCATTGTTGCTCAAATTGTTAGTTGGAGTCAGTCAGTCTTGTAGGTCTCTGGACATTTCTTTAGGTTCAGTTTTCTCTTCAATCCTATAATGGCTCCCTATTTTATTCTCTCTCTCTCTCTCTCTCTCTCTCTCTCTCTCTCTCTCTCTCTCTCTCTCCTGTCTTCTATTCCTCTCCTGACTCAATCTTCCTAGTCCCACATGCTTTCCTCTCCTCTCCTTCTCTTTCTCCTAGTTCCCTCTCCACTCACTGCCCCCCCACTCCCCATGTGCTCTGGAGAACTTGTCCCTTCCCCCTTCTGTGAGGGACCTTATATGAATCTCTTAAAATCCACCAGACAAGGCTGCCCTTTCTCTCCATATCTCTTCAATATTGTACTTGAAGTTCTAGACAACAAAAGGAGACCAAGGGGATCCAAATTAGAAAGGAAGAAGTCAAACTTTCTCTATTTGCAGATGCTATAATAGTTTACATAAGCAACCCAAAAATTTTTACCAGGGAACTCCTACAGCTGATAAACACCTTCAGCAAACTAGCAGGATACAAGATAAACTAAAAACAAAACAAAAACAAAAAACAAAACAAACAGTAGTCCTACTTTATTCAGATGACAAAGGGGCTGAGAAAGAAAGCAGAGAAACATCACCCTTTACAATAGCCACAAGCAACATAAAGTATCCAGGGATAACACTTACCAAACAAGTGAAAGACCTATATAATAAGAACTTTGTGGCTCAAAACAAAAACATTAAAGAAGATACCAGAAAATGGAAAGATCTCCCATGCTCTTGGATAGGTAGGATAAACATAGTAAAAATGGCGTTCTTGCCAAAAGCAATCTACAGATTCATTGCAATCCCCATTAAAATCCCAGCACAATTCTTCATTGACCTTGAAAGGATAATACTCAACTTTATATGGAAAAACAAAAGACCCAGGATAGCCAAAACAACACTGTACAATAGAAGAACTTGAGGAGGCATCACCATCCCTGACTTTAAGCTCTACTACACAGCAGAGTCTTTTATCCAGAGACTGCATTAGATTTCACCCTGCCCTGGGAGCCTAGCAGAGGCGCTCGCTGCAGGGTGCCCCATGGACCTGTAGCCTGGGAGGTGGCATGGGGCGCGGCCACCGACATCAGGGGCAGGATCTGACCAGCTGTGCCTATATCTTATTCACCAGAAGGAAGTTGAAGGTGTCCAGAACCTTTTGAAACTTCCAAGCTGGAGCTGGAGACTGAACTGGAGTTGAGCAGGGCCCTGGCTCCAGCCACTGGGCAGCCGCTCCTGCAGGAATCCTGGGCCCCAGCGACTGGCAAGGAGCAGGAGCCTGCAGCGGCCAGGCACAGAGGCAGGACAGGATGCGGGCTGCCCTGGCTCACCACGCTGGTCCTGTATGCTGCCTTCGTGGGACTGGTGAGAGCTCAGGCTGCTGCTTCCCAGGCTGGGCCAGGAGGCTCCTGCAGGGAACGATCACTCCCAGCTGCAGACCAGCTTCCCTAGCCTGCATAGTGGGAGATAATGGCGTATTCATCATCCCGGGTCTCTGGTCTTCTAGAAAATGAGCACAGTTCTAATCCTGGCGGGTTTTTGTCAACTCAAACGGACTGCCTTAATGAGTTTTCCAGCATCTATAAACTTGCATGCCTATACAGGGAGGGGGACAGGGCCTTCACCTGCTCTCCTCTGCCACCACCCACACAACTCTAAATTATTAAACCTCGCTGCTTCCCAGTGGCGTGAGCAAATAAGTTCAGTCTGCCGGGGGGTTTTCAAGATGAAAAAAACAGGCCCCTAGAAGAAAGTGACTTTCTATCATCATCCAGGTGGTGAGGTGGTAAGAGTCGGAACCTGGGAGCGCCTGTAGTCAACTGATCTTAAGATTTTTGTTTTTTAACACGGTGTAACTAAGCAGCCCCGGGCTGAGCCTGCTCTTGCAGTGTTACTGTTTCTGGGATTTCAGATCACTCACACCTGGGTGGCTTCTCAGGCTACTTTGATGTGGGAGAGACTGCGAAGGAAATTAGTAGAGGTGCTTAGAGAGCCTTCACTGTGTAGCTAGTCTCACAAGTCCTTTGCAGGATTTGCTAAGCACCTGTCAACTGTCATTGAACTTGGTACTTGCTGCTGGCTTGTCCACGCTATAGTCCTGAGTCTGAGTCCCTGCTGCTAAAATAGGAGGCACATTGGCTTGAAGCAGACCATGCAGCTCCCACTAATTACTCTTGAAATGTTGATAAATGACTTAGAAAAGTGTTTTCCTTTCCTTCCTTCTTTCTTTCTTTCGTTTGGTTGGTTGGTTTTTTTTTTTTTTTTTTTTTTTTTTTTTTTTTTTGAGACAGGGTTTCTCTGTGTAGCTTTGGAGCCTGTTCTGGAACTCGCTCTGTAGACAAGGCTGGCCTCAAGCTCACAGAGATCTGCCTGCCTCTCCCTCCAGAGTGCTGGGATTAAAGGGTGTACCCCACCACCACCCAGCCAGAAACGTTTGTCTTAAAATCACCAGTAATTCCTCTTCAACCCTTGGTTCCTGTTAACACACTGTGCAGGCAACATTTTACCAGTAAAACTGTTTTGCATGGGCATGGGTATATGTAATATATTCTTAAAAGCCTTAGAGTCTATACTCTTTCCTGGTAGCTTTGAAATTTTATTAAAGAAGGCTATAGATTTAGAAACATTCAGATAGTTGATTTCCAGCATATTCTATTTGTGTAGTTCAGAGAATCCCATCTATATCAGAAAGATTGCCTTTTTAACATAACCAACATGATCAATAAGTTAATGTTTGAGAATTTAAATTTTGACATCTAAATTCCTATTTCAGTCATAATGGAGTATATTTAAAGTAAAATATTTTGAGAATAAATTTGATATGTCGTATTAACTATTAATACAGAGAAATCTTGTAAGGTATTCTTCAAAATCTAAAAATAATCGCAACCAAAGCCAGACAAATTTTAAAACGAGTAGATGGAAAGCCACAGGACATATACCTCTAATAGTAAAGGTCGTACACTTTGTCCTGACATTTACCTCTAATAGTAAAGGTCGTACACTTTGTCCTGACATTTACCTCTAATAGCAAAGGGTCGTACACTTTGTCCCATTTGAATAAAAGGGAGTCTCTGTGTTACACTGTAACATTGTAATTTCCCCTCCCATTCTTTATCATGGAAAAGCCCTACCACTTAAATAAACATCAGTTTAATGGTGGTACGTTTAAAGCTCTTGTCGTTTTAAATTTTAGGGACTAAGCATTGGTGTCCTTGGGCCTACATTTCCAGATTTGGCAAGAAACGTGAACCAAAACATTAGTGGTCTGTCTCTCATTTTTGTGGGCCGCGCCTCTGGGTTTGTGTGCGGCACCATGATCGGTGGAGTCCTCCTAGACTGCATCCATCACTTCCTACTTTTGGGTGAGTACATACTGCTTTTTTACTTCTCTTCCATCCTTCCCTCTCTCCCTTCCTTCCTCTCTCCATCCCTCCCTCCTTCCTTTCTTTTTCAATGAATTTTTAACTTGACACTAAACATTAAACGCATAGACTGCAGAACGGTTGACAACAGAAATGAGTGTGGGTGTCCTCCGTGGCGGCTGGGTTTCCATAACAGAATCTATAGCGGACCCTCTAGAAACCCTCTTGACAAGCTTTCTCGGGAGTCAGTGTCGGCGACCCGGAGCAGTGCCGACTCTCCCTGTAGTGTGGGCTCCACTCTAGGCTCACACACTGCTTGACCACAAAGCTATGTAGTGGCATCTCGCATTGCCAGTGAATTTGTGGTGGTGGCCACACCCTATGAGCGTGGCTTCAGGTGTTTAGAGGTGACCCTTTGTAAGGCAGAGGAGGGGCGTTCTCGCTCTCTTGCGCATGGCATAGATTTTAAACTGCCCGTTAAACTGGCCTGTGACCCCGTCAAGCTGGGCCACATTCATCTGGGTGGATGGATGCTCCATTAGCACCAGCGATGCGGTTGCTCTCAGAGCATTCCCATGGCACGTACAGGTTCACGAACTCACCGGCGTCACTCTGCATGTCGAGGACTTGCGTGCTTTCTAGGCCAGCAGGAGCACAGAAAATGCAGTCTCTGCCCTTTGGACGTCCTCACCTCAACCCCAGAGAGCAAGCCAGCCCCTCCTGAACCTTATAAGCGGTCAAGGCCATGGCCAGGAGGATGTGGTAATTCACGGGCAAAGCAAGATGCCACTACAAAGTTCTGCTTATCTGGGCGTAGGGCGGGGCTCCTGGGGCCGTGGGGGTCAGAATGACTCCGGGAACCGGGCCAGGCTCTGTGGACTTGGGCTGGAAGATGAAGGATGGGGCAGTAAGGAATTGATAAAGGCTACCTTCAGTCCTGCTGCCCATGTCGGAGTTGAACACAGGCTGATCCTCTCAGATCCCGACCCTGGCTGGAAGAGAGGGCAGAACTGTTAGCATGCCTTCCTCAATAAATGGGCGCGATTTAAAAAGATTTAGAATACTATGCTAAAACTCCTCTGGAAGCAAGGTAAATAGATTATTGCTGAGAAATAGGTAATCATTATTACTTCCATAGCTGTTAAAAGGCTATTTATTTTCTGTATTTCATTTCCTTTTTACTCCCAAATGAACTTATTTGGTAAAGTTTTCCTATAATCTATTACGATTGAGTTTTATTTTTGCATTTTCATCTCATATCAAAATTATCTTTGTAGTAATGCTTTTAGGATTGACTGGAACACTATAAAACTTATCTTTTTTCTCCTTTTTTTTTTTTTTTAACTTAAATCCGAAACAAGGCTGTTTTACATGTCAATCCCAGTTCCCTCACCCTCCCATCCTCCCCTATCACCCCACCAATCCCAGCCCATGCCCTTTCTGCTCCCCAGGGAGAGTGAGGCCTTCCAAGGGAAGTCTTCAAAGTCTGTCCTATCATTTGGGGCAGGGCCTAGACCCTTCCCCATGTGTCTAGGCTGAGAGAGTATCCCTCTATGTGGAATGGGCTCCCAAAGTCCATCCCTATACTAGAGATAAATACTGATCCATTACCAGAGGCTCCATAGACTGCCCAGTCCTCCTAATTAACACCCATGTTCAGGGAGTCTGGGTAGGTATTATGCTGGTTTCCCAGCTGACAGACTGGGGTGCATGAGCTTCCCCTTGTTCAGGTCAGCAGTTTCTGTGGGTTTCTCCAGCCTGGTCATGACCCCTTTGCTCATCGCTCCTCCCTCTCTATAACTGGATTCCAGGAGTTCAGCTCAGTGTCTAGCTGTGGGTGTCTGCTTCTGCTTCCATCAGCTACTAGATGAAGGCTCTAGTATGACATATAAGATAGTCATCAATCTCATTATCATGGAAGGGCATTAAAGGTAGCTTCTCCACTATTGCTTAGATTACTACTCAAAAATGCCTTGGAGGTGAGGTGAATAATTTATTGCTGAGTTTTACTTTTGCATTGTTAATTCTTATCAAAATTATCTTTGGTGTAATACTTTTGGGATTGACTCATCCACTATAAAATTTATCTTCTGTTGTAGTTTCTAATTTGATCCTTAGCAATGATATTGTATACAAGGCACAGTAATTTACATTTTTATAGTCCACAAATTTTAGAAAAGATTGAGAAACACCCACCATATACAGCAATTATATCTCTCATCTACTCATGATCAAACATTTTGTTGTGGTGGCCATGATGGTTTTGCCATTTTAGTTTGCTTGTCTTTGAGACAAGATCTCACTTTGTAGCCTTGGCTGGCCTCAAACTCAGAGAGGTCTAGGTGCCTCAGTCTCCCAGGTGTTGTGATTAAAGTTAGTGTGTGCCACCATGCCCAGCCCAAGACCAACAGTTTTAATTTAGGGTTATTTTGTATTTTTAGATTTTTTTTTAGGATGTTCCTTTGACCTAGGACCCTGAAGAATACTAGTTTTTATAGCTGGCTTTATTACCTTCTTTTTTACCTCAGGTGTGTCAATGTTGGCTACCACAGTTGGGTTTTATCTTATTCCTTTCTGTAAGAAGGCTGTCTTACTGATTGTCATGATGGCTGTCTTTGGAGCTTCAGTTGGAGCGGTGGATACAGGTTAGTGAACCCTTCAGGGTTATCCATCTCCCGAACTGGGGAAAGTATGATGAGGAAAAGCAGACTATGTGAAATGGTAGCATCCTTTGTCTTTGCTATCAAGATGGCAGTGACTCACACAGTCAGCATCACACTTCCGACACATCTCCTTGCCAATTGGGGCTGGGCATGGTGGCACTTTAGTCATAGCCAACCAATTGTTACACACCTAACTGTGAATGAACTTTGAGGACTGTTTTATGAGAGATGGTTGGTTGTCCAAACATGGAAGGACCCCCTTTCTGTGGGAAATTATAATGCCAATGGGGAGTCTTTCATTTTAGGATAGAGCTTGACCACTTTAGTGTAAGAAAAATGATGATCTCATACGACAAAGTATATTAACTTCTTTGTAATTGCTGTGATAAAACACTATGATGAAAGCAACTTAGAGGAGGAAGACTATTTGGGTTTAGGGTGTGTGGGGGGGATTGGAGTCTGTGCAGCGGGAGCTAAGTGACAGAGGAAGGGACAGGAAACTGGGCCTCAAGCACAGAACAAAGAGAGCAATTAACATAGCTGGAGACTTTCAAATTCTCACAGCTGGCCCAGTGAAATACCTTCTCCAGCAAGGGCCACCTCCCAACCCTACCTAAACAGTGCCATCAGCTGGGGATCAAGCATTCAAATGCCAGAGAAGCCACCATTCAACCTCAAATGCACCCCAGATTCTGGACTTGGAGAACCCTGTGCGGGTGCCATATTCTTGCCTTTCTTTCTGGTTGTTCTCCTTTTCTCCACAGCAGAAAATCTCCACGTTTCATTCAAGACCTAAATCACACGTGAATCTCTCTTTCCCCCTAATCCTGGCTTTCTATCCTCTCCTTTCTTCTTCTAAGGGAAGGAAAGATATTTGAAAGATCATGGAAATAGTTTACAATGCAAGGATATTTGAATGTAAAAACTATGGAACTATATGATTGCCTCAAAATACCTGATTTTCTAAAAGATAGCCAAACACTAGATGCTTCATGGCTTTTGACCTTGTGGTGTTAAAAGTATGTAGTGGGGCGGAATTCTGTGGGCAACCTGACTCCCAGATGGGTGTTTAGCTTCTGGATTAGACATAAGCAAACAACACTCTTGAATTGGAATTGGCCCCTAATTGGGAGTGCTGAGCCTTTGGTAGCTTTCCCACCGTTAGATAAAAATCTGCCCAGCATGCACTTATATTTACATATGGACAAGGAAATACAGTTCAGCTGGGCAGATTACTGACCTAGCATGCGTGAAATACTAGGCTCAATCCCCAGAACTTCATAAACCAAGTAGCACATGTTTGTAAACCCAGTGGTTAAGTGGTACAGGAGTATGAAAAGTTCAAGGTCATCTTTAGCTACATAACAAGTTCAAGTTCAGTATGGGATTTATGAGAACTGTCTGAAAAAATACAAATAAATTTACCAGTGTCTTGCTGTTCTATTGACATGAAGAGACACCACGACCAAGGCAAATTATATAAGAAAGCATTTAATTGGGAATTAGCTCACAATTTCAGAGGGTTAAGCCATTATCAAACTGACAGAGCACATGGTACCTTTCAGGCAGGCATGGTGCTGGAACAGTGGCTGAAAACTTTAGGTCCTCCCTTGGAGAGGGGGAGGGGGAGGAAGATGGGGAGGGGAGGGGAAGGACAGACTGACTGGGCCTGTGGTTTTGAAAGCTCAAAGCATACCCCCAGTGAGAGACTTCAACAAAGTCAATCAAACCTCCTAACCCTTCCCAAACAGCTCACCAACTGAGGACAGAGCTTGCAAATATATGAGCTTATGGCGGCCATTCTCCTTCAAACCACCACAATTAGTAATGCTCCCCAGTGAGCTTCCCATTGTTTTACAATAGACTGTTTCAAATGTACCTGGTTCCTGTGATGGTTTACTGGTTTGTACACTCCATGCAGGAAGATGAGGTGTATCACAGTCCTGTGGTGATGGTTGGTTAGCACCGTTTAATTACAGAGTGGCTCTGCTGTAGCATCACAAAGTCCTACCACCTTTCCTCTATGAAATACCTGTCAAATCATTTCTTTAACTTGTAGGTGGGAACGTCCTCATCTTGGACCTTTGGGGGGACAAAGGAGCCCCACACATGCAAGCCTTGCACTTCAGTTTCGCCTTGGGTGCCTTCCTGGCTCCCCTGCTGGCTAAATTGGCCTGGGGTGCATCAGCCTCCACTCAGAACCACACAGAGCCCGGCTTTGACCCTCTAGTGATGAACCGGTCCTCTGAAGCCACCTCAGACTCTCTGTTTGCGGTACCCGAGGACATGAACCTGCTGTGGGCGTACGCTTCCATCGGAACCTATGTTTTAGTCGTTTCTGTCTTTCTGTTTGCTCTGTTTTGTAAGAAAAGCTCAAGGCAGAAAAAGTCCACAGCATCTGTTCAGAGAACTCGAAGAGCCAAATATCACAGGGCCCTGCTCTGTCTCCTCTTCATCTTCTTCTTCTTTTACGTTGGAGCCGAGGTGACCTATGGCTCTTACGTGTTCTCCTTCGCTACCACCCATGTTGGCATGGAAGAAAGCGAAGCAGCCGGCTTGAACTCCATCTTCTGGGGGACCTTTGCTGCCTGCAGGGGCCTGGCCATCTTCTTTGCAACAGTCCTACAGCCTGGAACCATGATTGTCTTGAGTAACATTGGCAGCCTTGTCTCAACTTTCTTTCTGGTGCTTTTTGACAAGAGCCGTCTTTGTCTGTGGATCGCAACTTCTGTGTATGGAGCCTCGATGGCAGCCACATTTCCCAGTGGTGTTTCCTGGATTGAGCAGTACACCAGCATCAGTGGAAAATCTGCAGCATTCTTTGTGATCGGTGCTGCTCTGGGAGAAATGGCGATTCCTGCAGTAATTGGGATTCTTCAAGGACACTACCCAGATCTGCCAGTAGTTCTGTACACCTGTCTGGGGTCGGCCATATTCACTGCTGTTTTGTTTCCTGTGATGTATAAATTAGCCACCTTACCTCTGGCTCGGCAGCCAAAAGGAAGGAAGAGTGAGGACCAGACAGCTTTGCTTTCCAGCTCCAAGCTCAATGACTATGAGAAAGAAAAATAAACGGAAAGATGAAGGAAAATAGATGGGATGGAACAGATTTTGAATTAGTTGAAATGATGTGTTTGAGCCAAGCACCATAGACATGTAAAATGGATTAGCCTTTGCTGAGTAAATAACCAAGCATCCACTTTCTCTCAGAAGAGTTGCAGTCAGTAATTTTGATGCAAGAGAAGCTAGAAGTAGAGAAACTGATGCTATAAAGGATTTACTGATGGAGTTGTCCTTCTGTACATATGAGTCTTATATTGGTTGATAAATAAGACACTGATTGGCCAGTAGCCAGGCATAGTATAGGCAGGGGTACCAGAGGTAGGAGTATGGAAAACAGGGAGGCCGTGAGAGAGACATTGTAGAAACAGGGAAAGTAGGATGCACCAGGCGTTCTCAGGTAAGAGAAGACCATGTAGAAATACATAGATTAGTAGTTATAGGTTAATAATTAAGAGAGAGCGAGCCAGTAAGAAACCATAGCCATCAGCCAAAAGTTTATAAATTAATATAAGACCTTGTGTGTTTATTTGGGCCTAATAGGCTGCGGGACCTGACTAGAAAGAAACTCCAGCTACAATTTACTAATAAACTTGCTGTGGTGATGTGTTATTTATGATTTATTAAAGCTTACTGAGGATTCAGAAAGCAAAGCCAGCCACAACCTATAGAGGTCAGGTAGGGGTGATGCACACCTTTAATCCCAGCAGCCCTACTAGCTAGCCAGGCAGTGGTGGCACACACTTTTAAGTCCAGGACTAAAGAGACAGGCACATGTATCTCTCTGAGTTCAAGGCCACCCTGGCGTACACAAGAGAAAGAGTCACAGAGCCCACGCCTTTGGTCCCAGCACTTGGGATGGAGTTGGAGACAGGAGTGATATGGCTGGGCAGATAAAGGAATATGAGGAGGAAGAGACAGGAACCGAGAGCCTTTGCCTCTGGGGACTTGTGGACACAGGATTACCATTTCAATTTGATAGAGATACGATCCACTGGCTGGCTGTTTTGCTTCTCTGATCTTCAGCTTGAAGCTTGAACTCCATTATCTGTCTCTGGGACTTTTACTTTTTCGTGTTACAACTTCCTTAGGAAATATTACGTTACAGGAAGTAAGATTTGGTTAAGGGTGCCGGCCTGGAAGAGATGTAGTGCACTGGCCAGGCTCGTGAGAAACTGAAGAGAGAGAACTGTGTGCCATAATTGAAGTTTGGGGTTGCTGAGAAAGTTTTGTTTTGTCCTTTTATGAGAACACAGAGATGTGACTCTGCATTCTAGATTCACAATTTACTCTCCTCGACTGGCTTCCAGTTAGGTTCTATGCCCAGAACAAAAGGGTCTTATGCCCAGTCATTAGGCCATCCCATATCAAAGAACTGTTCAGGGGGGCAGAGCAGAGTCACTGCTACCCTCATGCGCTGGCAAGATGAACCTGGGTAACAACTATGCAAAAAGAATAACTCCGGTGCACTCAACGAATCATTCTGACAGTATCTTTGTGTTGAACCTCCCATCTGCCCAAGAGTCCAGACCTACAGTTCCCTATGTCGGCTTAAATTGTTCAAAGTATAACCTGGGTCAGGAGAGACTTCAGGATGACAACATTTGTGGAAAGAACGAGCCTAAAATTGTGTATAAAAGCTAAGAAATCTTCAACTCAAGGTTTGCTCTTCCTTCTTTGGACATTAGCCACAGTCAGACTCATTTTGGGGGGGGGGTTGTAGAAATTTTTCTTTAATGATCTCTAAGTGTGCAGAGTGATTTTTCCCTGGGTAGGCATATGGATCCTATAGCAGGTAGCCGGAAGAGTACTTGGAAGTGGGGGGTGCATTATTGGATTCCTTACCTTTAGTGTTATGCAAAAGAATGCTGAGGACTGCCAGGTGGTGATGGCACACGCCTTTAATGCCAGCACTTGGGAGGCAGAGGCAGAGGCAGGCAGATCTGTGTGAGTTCGAGACCAGCCTGGTTTACAAGACCTCGTTCCAGGACAGCCTCCAAAACCACAGAGAAAGCCTGTCTGGGAAAGAAAAAAATGCTAAGGACTTGTTTTGTGTTGTCCTTTTATGAGAACACAGAGATGTGACTCTGCATTCTAGATTCACAGTGAGCACCGACCATGGTCTTCTTTCAGGCAATCTCCTAGTCCTGCACCCTAGAAATCAAATAATGTACTTTGTAATTAATACCTTAATTACTAAAATGTGACTCTTCTGATTATGGGAAATCATACTGTTTTACAGACAAATTTAAAAGTTATGGGTGGTCTCACTGTGACATGCAGGCTGGTTCCAGATGCCTGGGCTCAGGGTGATTCTACTTCCTAGTACCCTGAGTAGGAGGACAGACTGTTTCCTCCACTCCAGACAGAGCGTTCTATGTGCATATGCTAACTGTTCCCAGTTCTGTTCACTTGGTACTTAAGGAGAGCATGGCCCAGGGGTAGAAGGTGCTGCAGAGATGCTATCTCTGCGCATAGCCGTATGCTGGGTCCGCTCCATCCTCACTGGCTTTGGGAATCAGTCACATTATAAACTATTACAAACAGGCTAATTTTTTAGAGGATAAAATGAGGCTGTCGTTCCTATGGGTTGGGCTCCTTGTGCAGCCCCCTGTCCTTCTCCTTGAATTTGAAGTACCTGGAACTCCAAAGTACTGATAAGAGGGTGTTTTGTATCTTAGGACGGGGACAAGGGAGGCTATTTCCCAGTGCCATCCTCAGACAGACTAAAATTGATGGGAGACTACTTCTCCCTACACTGTAGATGAATAATGTTGAATTTCTACCGTATTACACTATGTTTTCTCTTACCCAAGTTCTATAAGTGTGTTTTTGACAAAAGCGCTTTGGTTAGTTGTAAGTGAAACAGCAATGTCCATACACCCCTTATGCCAGCTATGACCCCATCTTGGTGACTTATTAAGTTTGCACTGGCCTGGCAGATAAACAGACATTGATTGCTATTATTTATTTATGCTTTGCCTTTTCCTTAGACAGATTTTTACCAATGCATTTCTGAAGCTCTTTGGCCTTAGGCAACCACTGGGAAGTGCATTATACGTGGGTCTACCCTTGGCCTCTATTTTTGGAGGCAGAAGACGGAACCCAGGGAGAGAAGTATGACAAGAAGGCAGCATACAATTCAGAATCTGCAATGGATTCCACAAGCCAAAAGAGAATGGCTGCTGTGTGGGGTTACAGACGTCTAGATGATGGAGTAGCTGGCTTGAAGACTCCCCCGCCTTGGGTAAGGATGGCAAACATTTGGGGAGTCTGAATACATGTGTCCCCTTTCTCCTGTAGAACATGCACCCAGCACACCCCATGTCCAAACGCCATGTGTAAGCAGTTATGTTCAGGCCTCTCCACATACTTCAGTGACTGTTAGTCATTCTCTTCGGGTTTGTGTGGTATCAACTTTTGTTTACCCAGTCCTGGAAGTCAAGCCCAGGGCCTCAAGCATTCGAGGCCACCTGCCTGTCCTGGGGCTCTACCTATAGCTCCAGTCGGTTCTTCTGCATCCAAAGCCAGGTGCCTCTGTTCAGCTCAGCTGAGTGACAATTCTGTCTAGCAGGATGAGATGCTGCCTAATCCTAGAATCCTTAATCTAAGTCAACTGTATCTTGAAAGTAAACTTGTTGTAATTAAACTTGTTTAGAAATCATCGTAGAAGTAAAAACTGACGGTGTGGGGCGCATGCCCGTTATCCTAACGAGTGGTAGGAGCACACAGCAGTGTTAGGAGTTCAGGTCACCCGTGTATCTGACTCAAACACTGAACGAGAATAGAAATAACATATTAAGCCAACACCTAGAAAACATTTTGTTAATCTTGGTTTGCTGGCAGATATGCACTGGCCAAGTCCAAACTTCAGTAGCACACAAAGCTCTCTACAGTGTAGACCGAGCTTACCTTCTCCATACCGTCTTCCATTCTTCCCATCAACCCTCTCTCTAACCTTTCAGTATGGGCAAATGTCCAAGCGAATAGATTTACAGGAAGAAAGGTTTATTTTGGTCATGAGCTCAGAAGTTTCAGTCCAAAGTTGCTTGGCCTGGCTTCTCTGGGCCCGTGGCAAGGAGGAATGCATGACAGGAAGCTCACATGGGAACAGTTTCTTACCAAGAAGCAGAGGGGAGGATGGGGAGAAGGGGAGGGGATTGAAGGAGAGAAATCTTGGGTAGTTCTGTTTGATTTCTCCTGTCTAAGGGCTCTTCTCCCTGTCTTGGTTTTGCTTGGAAAATGGAGAAATCCCCTTGAGGACTCTGATAGAATAAGACTGATGATGCTAAAAATGCCTGTCTCAAATTACGAACTGCCTCTACTGTGGTACCAAAATCATTCCCACAAATTACTGACTGGACCAAATAATCACTGTAAGCTTAGGTCACTGTACTGGCTCCAGGTCACCTCTTCCAGAACTCTGAGGTGATAAAAGTGATGGCTTATTAAATTCTGCATTACCGAAGGACTACACGATTTGGCCACTTCAATCAAATGCAGTAATACAACATGGGTCTCCCTTCCCACAGAAGACATTGGTGCTTTAGCAGTTTCTAGAACTGTTATAAAGAGGGAAAGAGGCACCACTATCCAAATTATGAGCTTATAAGAACAATTAAGCACACAGGGAAAGAAACCTTCTAATTCATTCATCTTGAAAACAGACAAAAGAAACTGCAGCCTCTGAAAGAAAGCTTGAAAGAAAAAGCAGTCAATAACAGAGATGCTCTGTGGAGTAAGGGCGTTTTTCGCTACTAATATGGCAGGAGAAATAGAGATGATTATTAACCAACAGAAAACAAGGCCCTGGCAGATACTAGGGATACTCTGTTTTATGTCCCGCTATGTTTAAAATTTCCCTCAGAATAAAAATACATTCAAATGCTGGGAGATTCTGTTTTACCCAGACTGCCTTTAAAGCAAACCCTATTGTCTTAGTGTTTTATTGCTGTGAATAGACACCATGAACATTGCAGTTCTTATAAAAAGGACGCATTTAATTGGGGTTCTTCACAATCTCAGAGGTTTAGTCCATTGTCATCATGATGGGGAGTGTGGCCACACACAGGAAGACACAGAGCAGAAGTTGAGAGATCTACATCCAGGTCAGCAGGCAACAGGAAGAGAGAGAGACATTGGGCCTGGCTTGAGCAACTGATACCTCCTAACCCATCCCCAGTGACACACTTCTTCCAACAAGGCCACACCTCTAATCCTTTCAAATAGTTCCACTTCCTATGAGCCCATGGGGGCCAATTTCATTCAAACCACCACAAAATGTATATTGGGAGAAACTGAGACATCACATCTTTCTCCTGGAAAATTGTGCCCCTGTCCATTTGTTGGAAACAAAATGCTTACATACCCACTCCCAAAAGGGGATAGTATTTTTAACTTAGAGACACTGAGAAGCTCCAGTTCCCAAATTTTCTCCATGCTGCTTGTGAAGGGTTACAACAAGAAACCACAGGAGAAAACTGGCAGCCTTGATTTACAAGTTCCAGGAGAATTTGTGCAAAACAAAAACAAAAAGAGAAAAACCAAAACCCTCAGAAAACAAACAACAAAAACAGATGTTTCCAGGCAGTGGTAGTGGCACACACCTTTAATCCCAGCACTCAGGAGGCAGAGGCAGTTAGATCTCTATGAGCTTGAGGCCAGCCTCATCTACAGAATGAATCCAGGACAGCCAGGGCTACACAGAGACACCATGATTTGAAAAAAACAAACAAACAAACAAACAAACAAACCAGATGTAGGATGAATAAGGTCAGTTGCCTGAATTGAGATAACAATAGATAAAAGCAAACCCTTGACTAATATAAAAACAAATACCCTTTGAGGCAAGAAACCCTAATGGGAATCAAACGATCATAGAAGACTATCAAGAAAATGGATTTATAATCCCCTGTACCAGCCCTCACACCACCCCAACATTACCTACAAAGAAGCAAAACAGAAGAGGATAGATATTTGTGCAAAATCTCTAGGTCATAAATAAGACAGTCACCCTTGAAACTGCGTGGTACCTAGTCCCCCAGTTGTCACCTAGAATTCCTCTAACTGGAGTCTTTTTCAGTGATAGATTTTACATTGCCTTTCCTTTAGTGTCCCTTTGCACCAAACACCTAATTTTGTTTCCTTCACATAGGAGAAATAGCGGTTCACTTGGTTTTATTTACTGTCAGTTTTTATTTATGAGGTGAACAGGACAGTTTCAGGCAGGGTATGAAGTTAAACTACCTACTCTTGACATAAATGAGTGATCATTTGCCTGCCATTCCATCTGCGCAGAGGGCAGAACCAGAGATTTAATCAGAGCATGCCATTTGGTAGAAAACAGCTAACATTCATACAGACAGCTGCTACACATTTGGAGTGGCATGGTGTGGAGAAAAAGAGGGTTTATGACCTCCTCTGGCCAGCCCATTTGAAATAGTTAATAGATCTCAGAATCCCTGGATGTTACCAATCTGCCCACACAATTAGCCACCATTAAAATCCCAGTACACTCTAACATAAACACTGAAAAAACAATGGTAAGGTAACACTGAGAAATCGGCATCAGGGAAAAAACAATGGGTAACAGTAACACCAAGAAAGCAGCAACACGGAAGAAACAATGGGGAGAAACAATGTTAACAGTAACACCGAGAAAGCCCATCAGGGAAGAGACAATTGTAACAGTAACACTGAGAAAGCCCATCAGGAAGAAACAGTGGTAACAGTAACAGGAGAAAGCCCATCAGGGAAGAAACAATGGTAAGAGTAACCCTGAGAAAGCCCATCAGGGAAGAAACAATGGTAACCCTAACCCTGAGGAAGGCATCAAGAGCAGCACTACAGGAATGCAAGCACCCAGATTCTGTCTGGGCTCTGAACCCCTAACTCAAGGTCTAACCTTATTGGGCAGTCTCGAGTGTCGGACTGGGATCGAAACATTCCACAACAGCTTTCCCCAACAGCAGCTCACACGGTGTGCTCAAGATGTCCTATTTGCCCGAAACACAAATAGGAAAGCCGCTCCGTGGGAGACAGGGGTGTCTCCCTTTACTGAAAGGGCCATTTCAAACCTCACTTCCTCGATGTTCCCTGAACCTTGGAGGGAGGATGTTGCTATATCCTGACTGCTACCCACTGCAAAAACCAAAATTTTCTGACCAACGCCAAGAGTAATACTTATGTATGGATATAAATATGTGTGGCATGAATAATAAAAACCCTTTGACAGACATTGGGGTTCAAGATGAAGATCAGAAAAGCAAAGCAGCCAATCACTATAGAGTTCTTACTTCTACCAAGGCTCAGACCAAAAGGGGCCATCCTGTCCTCAGGGTGACTGCAGATGAATACATTGTACCGTCTCCACCCGCCTTATATTCCTCTCTAGTGCTGGGATTAAGGTGTGCGCCACCACTGCCTGGCCTGTATGACTGACTAGTGTGGCTAGCTTTGCACTCCGATCTTCAGAAAAGTTTTATTTGTTAGGTCATAAACAAAATATCACCACAAATATGTCTTTAGAGATTTGAAAAACACATCTATTTAGCAAAAACAGAAGTTCCTCCCTGGCCCTATGATCACCCCAGCCATGAGCTTTTGGACCCATTTACAACACTAAGCAAGAATTCCCTCCTGTGGAGTAACCCTCAACACCAAGCAGAAAGCAGTTTGTAATCTTCCTAACAGTTATGCCACTATATTTTACCTGAGGGCACATTTTGCCTAGTAGTTTGGTACTGTAGCATTGAAGGGACCAGACCCTCACCCAGCCTCCTGCTTTGGCAGCCATGACAGGCTGCTTGGCAGTCATGACAGGCTGCAGAAAAGACTCAGCAAGACTCGGCAACATGTGCTGAGCCCCCGACTTTGCCCTAATCACTAGGAAGCCAGATATCCTACATGTGGGAAGGAACTAACCAGAAGTTAGTGGGCTGGTTCTGGATGGGCTTTCTGGTAACAGTGGAATGTGGAATACAGAACTTAGCAACCACCCTGGGAGGGCCTCTAATCATAGCAACCTTGCTGCAGCTACAGCTGACCAATCAACTCAGGGCAGGTTGCCCAAGTCCGGAAGTGCATCAATCCTGAGACTGTTGTGGACTCCCAGACACTCACCCTTGCTCTGCCCCAATAAATTTCCTGCCCCATGGTCCCTCCGGGCCCTTCTTGTTCTGCCCACTGTATTGGATGGACAGAGGAACTGAGTTAATACAGTTAATCCGTTAACTAATCAAAGGTTTTGCTTTTGCATCGGATTGGGTCTCTTGGTGATTTTTGGGGTTCAGAGTTTGGGCACAACAGCCTGAAGAGTAATTTTCATTTTAAAATGCCCTAATCATCCTAAAGGTCCCACTGAAAATTTCAAGACACACACTTTTGGGGACCAATCAGAAAACTTTCAAAACATTCTAAGAAAGAAATGAACATAGAGCGAATGGAGAGGAGTTGGAAACCCGTTTAAGAGATCTCTGAAACAGACAGGGAAGAAGTTAATGGCCATACAAATGAAGCTGGAAAGTTGGTTTACTGGTAACGACAAGACCAAGTTTTGTAGTAGCTTTTGTAGAGAGCCTTAGTGGAAGGGGGTATCAGAGACAGAATTATAAGCGGAAAAACATTTCAGATACAGAGTAGCATCTGGTAACATTTGAGGCCATGGTCCCTGTGGTTAAACAAGAACCAAATCTATAGTCACATAAGGACATGGTCTTTCTTTTTCAGCTTGCATAACCACTTGGCAAACACAAACAATGCAATTGTCTGCAGGAACAGGGGTGGGGGATGGGGGTGACAAGTGCCTGCAACTCGTTTTGACCCAGATTTCTTTCTTGAGCTATTGTTTCACTAGTCAGGAAAGCCAACGGTTTGTTGTCTGACCTTTGGAAAGTTGTTACTCTAACTTCATAGTCCTATTTCTAGATGGGACCATGTGGGCTTCTGGGTGTTTTGTAAATTAACAGATACCTCTCATGTGAGAATTTACACATAACGGTCAGTAACTATTTGTGGAGTAAGAAACTGACTTTGAATACTCTCGTATGTTCAAGGAGCAAAGGCCAAGGTTTTGGAAATCACATAAAGAGGAGCTGAGGAAATTACCATCTTGCAGTTCTAGCCAGTTTCCTTCCTAAGTTTGGTGACTTCTGACCCTTTGATTTATTTTGTGCCAGACTGCAACTCCTACTCTTGCCTAGCATGCCCCAGCCGCAAAACTCCCCGGCACACTTTATTGTGACTCCTCACCTGGGCCAGGAAGTCAGATCCCCAAGGCAATCAGATCAACTTGAACCCGGCTTGAACCCGGCTCTTGGTTGACAAGAACGGGATCCGCGCAGACGCCCTACGATCTGGAGGGCGGTGTCCGGGAGCCGCACCTGCGCAGTGGGAAGACTTCGTTCCGGGCTCAAGCTCGCTTGGGCTGGTCCCGGCGGGGTTGGCGCCCGGGCAGACCGTGGGGCTCGAGGGCTGGGCGGGGAGCACGCTGCGCGCCTTCGGCTCCGGTGCACGGAGCACGGCAGGTAGAGAGACTTTGAAGCCGCCACGCTGGAGTTGGAGCTGGAGTTCCGCGCGGCCGGAGGGCAGCGGCTTCTCTCGGCCTCCCCGGGGACAGAGAATGAGTCCGAAGCTGTGGCCTCCGCGCGGAAAGGCCGTGCCCAGAACGTGCTGCGCTGGTTCTCCACCGCGGTGCTGTGTGCCGCCTTCCTGGGGCTGGTGAGAGCTAGGCTGAAACCCTCCCTGGCCAAGGCTGGAGCAGGCGTCCTGCAGGAACGCGCTCTCCTCAGCGCGTGACCCTTGGCTGCATTGGTTAATTCCAGTTGTGTCATCTGGAAAGAGTGGGCATAACTAATCGTGAAGGGCTATTGTCAGACTGATTTAAATACGTTTTCTGACATGAGCAAACCCAAGTTTCCTGGGGCAACGGGGAGATTTAGAAGGAGCTCGGGTCTTTACCCTTTTGCACCCACCCACTGAAGCTCCGAATTGAGCTTCAGCGAAAGGCTTTGAGAGCTTGCCTCTTCCTGGAGGTCTGATCAAATCCTGAAAACCGCTTTATTCTGCAGAGGAGAAACTAGGTCCCGAGAAGAAAGTAGCTTTTCTGGTTAGATGATAGCAACAAGGACCTTTCTTACCCTGTTCATAGCCGGGTTTAAATTAAGCCTTCAGATTCTAACATGATTTTCTTCACTAAAGGGCAAGAGCAGAATAAAGACGGCCTCTCCCTCTGTAGCTCTGGCTGCCTGGTCAGGAACTTGGTATGTAGCCCCGATTGGCCTCTAATTCAGACACTGGCCTGCTACTGGCTACCTGCCTGCCAATGGTGACGATTTGAGACAGGGTCTTACTATGTATTGAATTAATAGAGACCCACCTGCCTCTGCCTCCCAAGTGCTGGACTTGAAGCTCTGGGCCAGTGTTCTAAACCTGACCATTTTTGACTTGAGTGTTATAGAAAAATAAACCTTTTTTATTTAAATTAAAAACAATCTTATACTTACCAATCCCAGTTCCTTCTCTCTCCCAACCTCCCATGTCCCCCGCTATCTCCCCATCCCACCTTAGGGAGGGGATCATCAAAGTCTGTCACATCATTTGGGGCAAGACCTAGCCCCTCACCCCAGAGGCCACATAGACTGCTCAGGCCAGGCCCCACAATTGACACCCATGTTCAGGGGGCCTGGTTTGTTCCTATACTGGTTCCCCAGCTGTCAGACTGGGGTCCGAGAGCTCCTAATTGCTCAGGTCAGCAGTTTCTGTGGGTCTCACCAGTCTGGTCTTGACCCCTTTGTTCATCACTCCTCCATCTCTACATCTGGATTCCAGGAGTTTGGCTCAGTGCTTAGCTGTGAATCTCTGCTTCTGCTTCCATCAGTTACTGGATGAAGGCTCTGTGTTGGCATCCACAACCCCAGACAAGCTAGGAAGCAAGCAGGACCCTAAGAGAGACATACATGGACCCACACACGCCCTCGAAGGGGAAAATTGTGTACATTGGGAGCATGGAGGGAGGGGGAGGAGAACATGAGGGATCGGGAAGGCTGAATTGGGGGAAGAACAGAGAAGGAGAGCAAGGAAAGAGGCATGTAATAGAGGGAACAGTTGTGGGCTTATGGAGAAATCTGTCACTTGGGAATCTCCAGGAATCCACAAGGATGACCCCAACTAAGAATCTAAGCAATAGTGGAGGCTGCCTTGAATGCCATCCTAGAGGGCTAAACCTTTGATGACAGACTTCCCATCACTTGGCCTCTTGGGGTCTGAGTCAGTTGTTTCTAAAGAATATTTTGATGGGAAAGTGGGTTAGGAAGAAAGCGCTATAGATAATAGACACCCTCACAGTGTGCCGGGTCTCAGAAGTGCTTTGAGGACGTTTTAGGGGGACCTGCACATGCTATGGGCCTGTGTGCACCTGGCCTTTAGCCCAGGTCGCTGCTGCTCGGGCAGGGAATACCCTTGGTTTACAACCACTCATTTATTTATTATTTATGTGCTTGGGGTTGACCCGAGGACTTCAAATGTGTTAGGCTTTTACGGAGCTGTATTCCCCACCCACAATCAATTTGTTATCAAAATTCACATCTTAGAAACATTTCCCTTAAAGGTTCTTAGGAATTTCACCCGAAATAGCCCTTAGTTCTTGCTAGTACATTATATAGCATCTTGTTAAAATCCTTCTGTCTATGTTATACTTGTTTTGCTAAGAAAGTCTTACAGCCCTCATGTTTCCGCATGGTTTTGGAATTTGAGGGAAACTATAGAGACAGGAACATTTAAATTGTTTACAGGCAGCATTGGATATAGATGTATGCATATGCAGTAAAGGAAGGGCTCCGTGTGTTCCAGAGATACTGGCATCTGACTGTAAAAGCAGAATAATTTGGTGTTTTATAATTTAAAATTTTGGCATTTAAATGTCTATACTATTGATGCATATAGTGTATTTGAAAATGTAAATCTATATTTTGGAAATAGTTCATTTTTTATCTTTGTGCATGGGGTATGTGTGTAGAGGCCACCTTATTCTTTGACAGGGTCTCTCACTGACCCTGAAGCTTACCAGTTCAGCCAGACTAGCTGGCTAGTGAGCCTCAGGGGTTACAGGGATTCCATGCATGCCGCTGTGCCTGTGTGTGCTGGCTAGTTTTATGTCAAGTTGACACAAGTTAGAGTTATCTGAAAGAAAGGAACCTCAATTGGGAAAATGCCTCCATAAGATCCAGCTGTAGGGCATTTTCTTAATTAGTGATTGACATGGGAGGGCCCAGACCATTAATAGGTGGCACCATCCCTGGCTTGTGGTCCTAGGTTCTATAAGAAGGTAGGCTGAACAAGCCATGAGGAGCAAGCCAATAAACAGCATCCTCCATGGTCTCTGCATCAGCTCCTGAATCCAGGTTCCTGCCTTGTTTTAGTTCTTGCCCTGATTCCTTCCAATGATCGATTACAATGTGGAATTCTAAGCCAAATAAACCCTTTCCTCCCAAACTTGCTTTTTGGTCATGGCATTTCATTGTTGCAATAGAAGTCCTAAGCCAAGATAGTACCAGGATTGACTGGTATTGCTGTGACAGATCTGACAGTGCTGTTTGGGACTATTGTGGAAGGACTGCAGAAGTCTGGGCTAGAAAAGTCACTGAGGGCTGTCTGTTGGACTTGGAAGGTAAGAATGTTGACAGTAGGTATGGAAGATGGAGGCCTGGCTTGTGACATTTCAGAGGGAAGCAAAGGCTCTACCAGGCCATTTGAGTGAAGAATCTGTGCTTCTAGTTAGCTGGGACTGAAGAATCAGCTATTATTAAGAGGAGACCAGCATCATTGAGGTGAAGTCTTCTGGGAAGTCATTCCTCGGGGTCAACACAGAGAAGCCGTGTTTGGAAAGTGGCCAGTGTTGCAGCGCTTGTTGACAGCTGAGAGTATGAGTCAACCATGGAGAGCAGCTGAGGCCTGGCACTGTGTAGCAGGGCTGGTGTCCCTGAAGAGAGCCCAGGAGAGGCTATTTGTCGAAGTAGATCCCAGTTGCCGCAGATACCCCCTGCGTTTTGGAGATGACAGTCATCATGATCAGCAGCAGGAGTGGAGTGGAGCCAGCCAGAGCCTGGACAGCAGTCTTGGTATGCTGCAGGGGGCAGAGCCACATGAGAGACCCAGGCCCTTTGGAGGAGCCCAGGAGATTGTGACTCCCAGACAGTTGGATGTTGAATTATTCACACTTCTGGAGTTTGGGGGACTATGCCCTGATTCTTCCCTCTTGAGTAAGAAAGTCTTACTTTGATTTTATGGGAGCCCACAGTTGAATTTTAAAGCAGATTTCAGGCTTTAAAAGAGGCTTTGTATTTTTAAAAAGACTGGATCTTAAGGTGGAACTCTTAAAGGTTATAGAATGTTTTGTATTGTGATGTTGATATTAATGTGTGATCTTGGGGATGAACAAGACAGGCAAGGTTATGGCGTACAGTGATCTGTCTGAGTGGCAGGCGGATGAGTCCATTGTCTCGGCTAATTTTATGTAAACTTGAGGGAAGCTAAAGTCATCCGAGAGAACCTCAATCAAGAAAACTCCATAAGATTAAACTGTAGGGCATTTTATTAATTAGTGATTGGTGGGGGATGCCCCAGCCCCCTGTGGGTAATGCTATCCCTAGGCTGGTGGTCTCAGGTTCCATAAGAAAGCAGGCCTAGCAAGCCTGCAAGCAGCACCCCTCCGTGGTCTCGGCATCAGCTCCTGCCTCCAGGTTCCTGTCATGTCTTGGCTTCTTGCAGTGCTGGGCTGCAGTGTAGAGGTGTAAGCCTTAGTACCTTTCCTCCCCAACTTGCTTGTTGGTCATGGTGTTACACTGTAACAATAGGAACCATAACTAAGACCCTGTCTTTTGTATATGAATGATGGGGTTCACACTCGGGACTTCATGTTTGTGTGCCAGGCATTTCACTGACTGCGCCATCTCCTTAGCCCCTACTCACATAGTAACGGTTGAAACAGAAGAAAATCAATAGTTTTGTAAGTCATGTGTGTTGGAATACATACAGTGTTTGGGGGACTGAGACAGGAAGGTTGTGAGTTAGAGGCCACCCTAAGCTACATAGTAAGGCTGAGTCTCCAAAACAAAGTAAAACTTAAAATAGCAAGGGTTGAGAATAAAAAAGCCATTGGGGAGTGTGTAACTTTGCTGCTAATGTTTCTTTCCATAGGTTTCTCTTCATGTAGTCTGAAGTCCCTCATGGTAGACTGCAATCCCCCAACCGTGGTTTTGGTTTTTTTTTTGTTTTTTTTTTGTTTTTTTTTTTTTTGTGGAAAAGCTACTTGCTGGACAGTTTCCCAGGGATGAGTGAAGCTCTCTTCTTTTTTAACTGTAGGGACTGAGTGTTGCTATCCTGGGACCCACCTTTCCAGATTTGGCAAGAAATGTGAACCGAAACATCAGCAGGCTGTCTTTCATCTTCGTGGGCCGTGCCTCGGGGTATTTATGCGGCTCTATGATCGCGGGAGTTCTTTTTGGATGTATTAATCATTTTTTACTTTTGGGTAAGTACTCCCTGCTTTAATTCTTTGTTTCTACCAACAAATTTTACAACTTAGCTGTAAATGTGGAAACTTGTTGATGCCTGAGATGGGTAGTGTGCTGGCATCCATCCTGGCAGCTGGATCTCTGGGTTCCTCTTCCCCTTTGGCAGCTGGAGGGAGTCTGGATAAGTGATCGGCACTCAGGAGTGAGTTTAGGCAACTCTGAGCTGTGCTGACCTTCCGTCTAATTCGGGCTCCACTCCAGACTCACACACCATGAAACTCTACCTCTCTGGGCGTAGGGCGGGGCTCCTGGGGCCGTGGGGGTCAGAATTACTCCGGGAACCGGGCCAGGCTCTGTGGACTTGGGCTGGAAGATGAAGGATGGGGCAGTAGGGAATTGATAAAGGCTACCTTCAGTCCTGCTGTCCATGTGGGAGTTGAACACAGGCTGATCCTCTCAGATCCCGACCCTGGCTGGAAGAGAGGGCAGAACTGTTAGCATGCCTTCCTCAATAAATGGGCGCGATTAAAGACAATTTGTTGATGCATTAAAACTGGCACTGAAGCACGAATTCTTTATCGCTGGTGAATGAGTAAGTGCTTTGTTGTCAAAGTGGAGCAGTTTTAGCTGTGTTTTCAACATTTTATTTTTTCCCAGGGGTGTCGCTTTCTGCTACCACAGTTGGCCTTTATCTCACTCCATTCTGCAAGGCAGCAGTGTTACTGGTTGTCATAATGTCTGTCTTTGGTGTTTCAATGGGCCTTCTGGATACAGGTTAGTGAATTCCATATTGTTAAGCAGAGAGCCAAAGACGCGATGCTCTGGCGGTCACCTCCTGGGCTCTCTAGCAGAACACTGCAGACCTGACAGCTCTGTTTGGGTCTGTGATGTACGTCAGGACCCTGGGTATGGACTTCCATGACAGTGGCTGCCAGGGGCAAAAATAGAAATCTTTGATTATTTGGCTACTATCTGGTACTAAAACTAATCTCTTGCAAATAGATAGGTGTGTTGCTATTACATTTTCTGGAAAGCCTTGGCTAATGTTGTAGCCCTAGTGGGTAGTGTGGTTTACCAGTTCATGGGTTTTGTGTGTTAAGAAGAGGTGCTGTGACACCATACTGGTGATATGGGTCAGAGCTCCTCAGAATAGCTTAGCCCTAGTGCAGGCTTTGTATTGCCACATTGATGCCCACCTCCTCTTAATAGCCATGTAGTAGTCTTACTAAATGAATGTTAATTAAAATCATTTCTTTTGTTGGCAGGTGGGAACGTCCTCATCTTGGACCTTTGGGGGGACAAAGGAGCCCCACACATGCAAGCCTTGCACTTCAGTTTCGCCTTGGGTGCCTTCCTGGCTCCCCTGCTGGCTAAATTGGCCTGGGGTGCATCAGCCTCCACTCAGAACCACACAGAGCCCGGCTTTGACCCTCTAGTGATGAACCGGTCCTCTGAAGCCACCTCAGACTCTCTGTTTGCGGTACCCGAGGACATGAACCTGCTGTGGGCTTACACTTCCATCGGAACCTATGTTTTAGTCGTTTCTGTCTTTCTGTTTGCTCTGTTTTGTAAGAAAAGCTCAAGGCAGAGAAATTCCACAGCGTCTGTTCAGAGAACTCGAAGAGCCAAATATCACTGGGCCCTACTCTGTCTCCTCTTCATCTTCTTCTTCTTTTACGTTGGAGCCGAGGTGACCTATGGCTCGTACGTGTTCTCCTTCGCGACCACCCATGTTGGCATGGAAGAAAGCGAAGCAGCCGGCTTGAACTCCATCTTCTGGGGGACCTTTGCTGCCTGCAGGGGCCTGGCCATCTTCTTTGCAACAGTCCTACAGCCTGGAACCATGATTGTCTTGAGTAACATTGGCAGCCTTGTCTCGTCTTTCTTTCTGGTGCTTTTTGACAAGAGCCGTCTTTGTCTGTGGATTGCAACTTCTGTGTATGGAGCCTCGATGGCAGCCACATTTCCCAGTGGCGTTTCCTGGATTGAGCAGTACACCAGCATCAGTGGAAAATCTGCAGCATTCTTTGTGATCGGTGCTGCTCTGGGAGAAATGGCGATTCCTGCAGTAATTGGGATTCTTCAAGGACACTACCCAGATCTGCCAGTAGTTCTGTACACCTGTCTGGGGTCGGCCATATTCACTGCTGTTTTGTTTCCTGTGATGTATAAATTAGCCACCTTACCTCTGGCTCAGCAGCCAAAAGGAAGGAAGAGTGAGGACCAGACAGCTTTGCTTTCCGGCTCCGAGCTCAATGACCGCGAAGAAGAGAATGAAGAGGAAGATGCAGGAAAGTGGAATGAAATGGATTTTGAAGTTGTTGAAATGAGTGATCCAGCACAGGAGTCTGTAAGGGACACATCTAGAGCTATCCTGAGGGAGCCTACACCCGAGGCTCCCGATCACTTCCTAGCAAATGCCTACTTTTCCGTCAGTAGCAACAGTCCTCTTGTGAATCACCAGGATGAAAGGGACGGACAGTCAGAGATGACAACTTACTGAATGACTTCACTGAGTCACCGCCACTCCTGAAGCACCACTCAGGCAGCAGAGCTTTGCGAGACTTTCTGCAAGCATCTGCAGTTGCAATGTGTGGGTGTTCGCAGCCAGCAGTGGCACTATTTGAAGTGTGGTAGAGCTCTCAGTAACCCATTTGTTCTTGTTCAGTAGGCTCTTGTTAGGAGACTGTGTTGTGGTCCCTACCTCTCAGAACGCATTTCCGCATGAGGAGCTGGGTAGTGTGCCAGTAGTTGACCCTGTCGGAGAGCAGAGCTACTTGGCTGAGGAAATGGTCTTATGGCCGCATTCTGCTGGAGGCCTGTGAAGAAGTCATGGCAAAGAGCCAGCTTTGGAAACAGGAAGATGGTTTTCTTAATTTTACCCTCTGTATAGGGTTGAACTGAAAAGTACTGCTGAGTGTTTCTTATTTCTGTGAGAACACAGGTAGGCCATTATTTCTAGCTTCCTCCCTGAATTCATGCTGAGCTTTGATACAGTCTGGTTTATTGGGTCTCGTGTGATTCTAGAAATGCAGATGAGGTTATTTCCACATTCTAGGTTTTGGGTTGTTTTGTTTCTTGAGTCTTATTTTATAGTCCAGGCTAGCCTGGAACTTATTAAGTAGCCCAGGTTGACCTCTGACTCCTGAATTTTGTACTAGAGATGTGTGCCACCATGTGTGGTGAAACGTGTAAGTGTTAAAGTTGTATAATAGTTTTGCTAAAATAGCCCATTCATTTCAGATGCAATGTAAAACAAAAGTGATGGGTGGCCCTCCAAACAAGCTAGAGCCTGTGAAATCCTGCAGTTTAGCAAGCAGTTTAGTAGCTCTGCTGTACGCATTGATCTACAACACGCCCCTTCCTCTTACACTCAAGGGTCATCATTTTAGTATTATAGTAAATCCTATTCTTGTTTTCCATCCATTTAAAACCTTCCCGCCAAATGCTGTATCATGTTCATGTAATACAGCAGTTCGCTACATCTCAGAGATTATAGTATTTTTGCTGCTGACACTTTACAAGAGAGGGTTATTTTTTATATGAGTCTATATCATGTTCAGAGAGAATTTGGAGACATTCTGTTGATTTTATGTAATTTTCTTTTCTACTTCTGGTGACTGAACACAGGGCCTTGCAGTTGCTAAGCAAGTGTTCTGCCACTGGGCCCAAGTTCCTGGTGTCTTACATTTCAATTACAGAAGCTGTTTTAGAGTTCTACATTGGCAGTAGAGGTGTGGACAGTGTGGACATGTCCTTTGGTGCCCATAGCCTGCCTCAGTAACAGTTTTAGGATTTGACTCTCACTAGGTTGGGTTATTAATCACATATGTACTGTAAACCAGGCTAAAAGTTTAGTTTACAAATGAGGCACCATCCTTTTTGGTGACTGGAGAACCTGTGTCCCCTCCAGGACTCTGAGTTTGCAGTACCTGGAGACCAAAATAACGGTGATGTGATGGACTAGGGAGTCTGTGATGAGGGACGCTGCTGCACAAGTGTGACAAGAATAGTCCGGGCCATCCTTTGGTAAATGGCTTCTACCTCTTCTCAAGTTTTATGCTGAGTGACAATGAATTGCTACTTGACTGCAATGTTTTTGCTAATGCCTTACTGGATTTTAAGAATTTGCTTTTCTTAAAACAAGTGCTTTGTTTCTCTTTAAAAAAAAAAAAAAAGATTAAAAAATGTTTTTGTTTTTTTTTATGTGTGTGTGTGACTTTTGTGACATCTATGTATAAGTGTACTGACGTGGGGTCCTGGTGTTGGGAGAGTCTAGAAGAGGGTTCAGATCCCCTGGAACTGCAGTTATTTATGTTATCAGCCACCATGTGGCTGCTGGGACTAGAACTCTTCGGGTCCTCTGAATGAGCAGCCAGTGCTCTTAACTGCTGAGCCATCTTTCCAGCCACCTTGCTTGACTACTGCCCATTGACCTCCCACATGCCTACCAGCACACTGGCTCAGGTTACTTAACACAGCATTGGAGGGGGTGGGTGTAGCATGAATCATCAAAACCCAGAGACAGATAGTGATTGGGGTTAAAGCTGGAGACCAGAGAAGCAAGTGGCAGGCACTAGAGAGTCCTCAGACGGAAGGGTCCATCCTGTCCTCAGACTGCATCTCCAGACGGCACTGCTCCTCAGACTGCCTACACTGCAGACTGAATACCGCGAGAGGTTCTGAGCTCCCGTCTTAGTGCTGGGATTAAAGGCGCGTACCAACACCGCCTGGCCTCTATGGTTGTGGCTACCTTTGCATTCTGATCTTCAGGCAAGCCTTATTAGATCCTAAACAAGTGTCGGGAAAGATTGTGGCTCCTTCTGTACTGTGCTTTCCCACTAGAGATAGGGGATGAGCTCTGCTCCACTACACAGCATTGCTGTAGGTTGTTAGGCATTGGGCGGCAGTGGCTGCACTGGGGGTGTTTTTAAACACAGATTCTACCTTCAACATCCACTTTGGAGGACAGAAGATGGCATCAGGAGGAGAGGCATGGTGATAAGGACTTGGCATAGAACTTGAAGATCCACATTGGAAATCCTGCAAACCAAAGTGTAAATGGCCATGTGAGAGCAGAGGCGTTGTCTTAGTGTGGAATGTATTTCTGGATTAGAAGGAAACAACTGAACCCAGGCAGAAAACGTTTAGGGGCCAATGTCCAAGTTCCCAATTGCTGACAAATCAAGATCTAGCTGTTTGCAACAGACATGGAGGCACGACTTGACTGCATTCTGAAGGTCCCTGTCAGGGAGGACTGGGCATATCTTCCAGGGATGCCTGCTCACTGGCAGTGTAATTGGGGCTCCTGTTTCTGCTGGCTGCCAGTGGGTTGTGTCTGTGGGTTTGTTGAAGTCTCCCACTGTTCCTCTCCAGATGATACTTAAGTTTCCCTTACAACATGGCAGCCTGTTCAAAGCAAGCACGAGGATCCCCTTCCCAAGAGAGCCCTGCCAACCTGGGTGGTATGGCATGGGATGCACTTACAGGAGCCGCATCTGTGGCATGGGATGCACTTACAGGACCCGCATCTGTGGCATGGGATGCACTTACAGGAGCCGCATCTGTGGCATGGGATGCACTTACAGGACCCGCATCTGTGGCATGGGATGCACTTACAGGACCCGCATCTGTGGCATGGGATGCACACAGGAGCCGCATCTGTGGCATGGGATGTACTTACAGGAGCCGCATCTGTGGCATGGGATGCACTTACAGGACCTGCATCTGTGGCATGGGATGCACTTACAGGAGCCGCATCTGTGGCATGGGATGCACTTACAGGACCTGCATCTGTGGCATGGGATGCACTTACAGGAGCCGCATCTGTGGCATGGGATGCACTTACAGGACCTGCATCTGTGGCATGGGATGCACTTACAGGAGCCGCATCTGTGGCATGGGATGCACTTACAGGAGCCGCATCTGTGGCATGGGATGCACTTACAGGACCTGCATCTGTGGCATGGGATGCACTTACAGGACCTGCATCTGTGGCATGGGATGCACTTACAGGACCTGCATCTGTGGCATGGGATGCACTTACAGGACCTGCATCTGTGGCATGGGATGCACTTACAGGAGCCGCATCTGTGGCATGGGATGCACTTACAGGTATCACCTTTACCTCTTTGGCTTCAATTGAATCACAGATCCTGCCAAAATCCAGACAAGAGGCTAGAACAGGCGTGTGAACCTAGAATTCATTGTCAGGAGTGTCTGCCATATCCATGCTCCTGCAAGTCAAGCTTTTCAAAGGATTAAAATTATAGCTGAAGTAGAAGTCTGTAATTATAAATGCAACCCTGTATTGGGGCTTTCTAGAGGAACAGAACTTATAGAATGAATACATATGAATACATACATACATACATACATACATACCAGTGAAGGAATGGGTTTGCTAGCAAGAGCAAGCAGGCCAAGAGAGCAAGCTTCCTTCTCATACCCTTTATGAAAGCTGCCAGCAGAAGGTGTGGTGTGGATTGAAGGGGGATCTTCCCACCTGAAAAGAGCTGGATTATAAGTGGGCCATCCAACTTCCAATTTTTGCCTAGTCCTTTGGGTATTAATTCCAGATGTAGTCAAGTTGACAACCAAGAATAATCATCACAAGCCCATCCCTTAACAACTTGACACAATCATATCTCCTTATACGATGCTTCCCATGTCATAATTACATCTAACATGATATAACTTTTCCACATACAAATACGAAAATATATATTATATGTATATGCGCATGCAAATATATATTATATATGTATATGCACACACACACATCTCCAGGTCATAATTATGCCTCATATGATATGGCCATTCCTTGCACAACTGCAAATGGGTTGTGAGTTTAGAATAGGTGGCATTGTCCCTTGAGAGGCATTCTTTTATCTCAAACTTAAGTATGATAATCACTGATATCCTCTTAATTGATGTTATATTACATAATAAATCAAGGAGAGAAAACGAAATGTATGAGCACATTCTTAACAAAATATGACAGAAAACGCCATGCCAATTATAACCTTTTGCTTCTGTAACTGGTCACGTGGCCTTTGTTACCCTGTCTGGATTAGGCTCTTGTTGTTTCCCATTGACTTTAATCACAGACATCGTAGCACCAAGAGACGCCCTAAAGGATCCCGGGCACTCCATATATAACCCTTCGTACCTCCATTGTGGACAGGCAATCCAATGTCCCCATGGTAACCTGGATCGATCGCCTCTCTTAACACTGCTGTGCGGTCCATTCTTAGCTTGCTGGTTTAAGGGCATCAGAAGCCCAAAGTGGCCCCTGAAGGTTTTTTATGTATCAACCAATTAACATTTCAGAAGAAATTTGCCACAAACCACTTGCACACGTATCAGCAAAGTATTAATTTTACAGCTGTTTATCCCAGAATGAATTATCCTGAAGATATACACCTGCCCTCTTTAGCTTTCCTGATTATCCAGAAGTATAAATAGATGTCATAGCATCCTGAAGCTGAACTTTAATGAGATGCTCACTGCACATAATTCTGTACAGGGTGGACGCAAAAGTATTTTCTAAAGGTCTGTAATAAATTAGTGTCAACTCCCTCAAGGAATCAAAAACCCAAGAGAGAAGATCTATGAGGAAACCCGAGAAAGGAGGGAGGGAGGGAGGGAGAGAGGAGGAGGAGGAAGACAGAGAGAGGGAGGGAGAGAGGAGGAGGAGGACAGAGAGAGGGAGGGAGAGAGGAGGAGGAGGACAGAGAGAGAGAGAGGAGGAGGAGGACAGAGAGAGGGAGGGAGAGAGGAGGAGGAGGACAGAGAGAGGGAGGGAGAGAGGAGGAGGAGGAAGACAGAGAGAGAGAGGGAGAGGTTGTGTGAGTTGTATGCCTGATGAATTCACCTGGGAATAAACAGCAACCATGTGGCTGCAGCTATCTTTACTAAGGTTAAAGAAAGTAAATACTATGGAACTTCACCGCCATCAAGGAAAAAGTCAGCCCCTGCCTTTTCTAGAGCTACTAGGTCTCCACCTGAAAAAGGCTCACTCAGAGACTCCACACTGAGAGATAAACTCACAAAATGGGTTGGAATGTCAATACCTAAGATACCATACTATTATTACTACCTCAAAATTTACCTTTTATACCAAAGTTTTACCTTTATTTAAAAGAACTTGCTTTCACTGACTCCTCTCAGTAATCAATCACCTGTGTCTGGTAAACGCTTGGATGGAAAAAAGGAAAAATTTAAAGTTTAAATTGTGAGGGTCTAATGAAGTAATTTAAGGTATGTAAATGCCAGCTGTAAAGGTCTGAGGAAGTGATTTAAGGCAAGTGGAAAATGAGGAAGGTTTCATATTTTTTTCATTCTTGCTATGGTATTGTTTCAAAAATTCAAAGTGCTAATACATTAATCAATGTAGTTCTGCTAAGCTATTAATCTAACCCTGGTAAAGCACTGCTACTAACTATCATAGTCCCAGGGCCCCGGATTTCAATTCCCTCAGGTTGTTTTCTAAATAGAGACTTAAACTTGCTTCCTTACGGTGCCAAAAGCATCTCTGTGCAAGCAGTGCTCTGGGCAGAGCACTCCGCTTTTAACCCCAAATCATCCTTTTGCTATGGCTCAAAGGCATGCGTCTACTAAGTTTACCTCATTAATTCAAAAAAGCCCAGGGTTAGGCGGAATCCAGGTTGCTTACAGAACAGATGAAGAGAATTCTACTTATGACGAGGTAAAAGTCACAGCATTATATTTCATATTTTATTCAATTTTTAATTTGGTTTTCATTATTAACTCTTAAAACAAAATGATTTCCAGTTTAAAAAACAATGCACTGACCACATAATTCCTTTTTCATTTTATACAGTTATACAAATATCCTAAATACACATTTGTGTTCAAGGGATGGCAAATAAGATTAACTGTACAGTACATAAGGAAAGAAAATATTTTAGGCATATTTAGAGGCAATAGAAATGTCTATACAAAACAAGCAAAATGGAATAAATTTTTTATTTTATTTTTAAAGTATTGCAACAGGCCCACAGGTTTGTAACAAAAATGTTTTTGCACAGTTCCTCACAATGCCCCGTTAGTAGCTAAAGCAAGACAGCAGTCTTTAGAAAAGAATGTTTCAAAAAATGCTACACATGGTACTATTTGCACAGTTTGATCAAAGTAACAAA